AAAAAGATGCTCGCACAGACAACAAAGGTGTTGTTCTAACTGGACTTTTTTGCAGGGCCATCTTTAGGGTGGAGCGAGTAGCCTCGCGCGGTAACAAATAAGTAAAATGTTTTGGTTGAATGAAAATTATATAATAATGTATATATACGTGCCTAAAATATTTGTCTGATTACTCTCGCAATATGTTAAATTATTTATTAAATACAAAACCCACGAAGAAGATAATCGTGACCGAAAGATAGTACATACCTATGTGCAAGTAATATGAATATTTTGTAATAATATGTATTGTATATGATTGATTATTATTCACTACAAAAGAAAAAGATTTCTTATACGAATTTATTCATTTCCTCGCAGACCTAAATTTTATTATAATTTTCCTAATGCTTAAAAAATAAAGGTGGAAGAGTTTAGACCATAGTCATAAATCATATTTCTTTCTTATCTCAATTCTTTGCACAGAGTGAATTATTGTATACTTACATCAAAAATAATAAGATAGTCAACCCTTGAAAAAAATCATGTAAATAATTGGCGTTTTGAGATGAAATGACTTCATCAAAAATGCTAAAAACACTTTGTTGTCCGAGAATTTTTAAAATTTTCGGAGTAGACTACTTTCTTTTAAAAAAGGCCTCTCATCTGCTAAGGACGGCTCTGCTTTTTTGACATAACTCGAGCTGACGATAAAATAGCCGAACCTATTTCGATGAATCAAACAGAGTTTCTGAACTTCGAAAATTCTTCTCAAATAAACCGGAATTGTATTATTTCACCAGGTGACGTCGATTACTGCTCCCGCTTGGAGTGTTTATCGAATGAGCTTGAGAAGTTAATTTCACCGGCTATATTCGTTAATGACTCCGACTAGAGATGGACGATATCTTTATTTTTGAAACTGCTGAATATGATATCGTTACTTTTTGATATCAGTGATTTAAAACCGTGACGTGATCACGACTTTCGAATAACGATGAGATTACGGCAATGCTTTCGTGCTGTAAAATCGAGCCTGAAACTTGATGGATCTCCAGGTCTCCAGCTCTCCAGAGGTTTGACAGGGTTGTCATGTCGAAGGATATTCCCACAAATTTGGGGATTTTCACTTGAGTAATTTTTTGGGGATATAATGTTCTAGGGGATATCACACGTTTTGCAAATAGAACCAAACCTAACCTTTTCCATTAATTAACTGTGATTTGAGGAATTTTTTTGGAAAATTAGCAATTCTGAGGGATGTTTGTGCTTCTTCTGGGGAAATTCCGACCGACCATTTGGCAACGCTGTGCTTTGACAAAAGCGTCTTATGAACACCAACAAATGAATTGCCATTTAGCTCATTGTAAATTATTTCAGCTATTTTTGCTTATTTCTTGTATATGCTTGGTGTAACTAGTCGGAAATCTGTTAGACTTTTTTACTTTTACTTAGCTATGTCTCAAGAAGTGTTTAAAAGCTTTCCTTTGGGCTATGATGAATTGTTTAACACCGACATGTCTGTTCAAGCCTCATTTGCTCCGAGTCAAAACAAACATGCGCGCTCGATCGCCGCTTGTCGCTGACTGCCCAGGCATTTACGGCCAATAGAGGCTCAGATATTCAAACCCGTTGCTCGTATTTGTTTTGACGGAGCGTAAATGAGATTTGAATACACTTTTACTACTTACTTTGTGAAGTAGTAGAGTGGCTAGACAAGCTCGTCATAGCAACTCTGGAAACTTGGTGGTTTCCATGTTGAGAATCCCGTATGCTTATCTGGCCGAATCAAAACCACATTTGTCTAGCTCTCATCTTTATTGAAAGATTCGTACTATAACCTTAGATACCTCGTGAATGCGCAGTGGCTGCTGGTACTCGATTCTTGCTTTGATCACTGCGCCTTCAGTCAGGCGTCAAGTTTTGTCGTCATTTTTTTCTCATTTAGCCTGTTCTTTTGGTATATAGGCTCCATCAAGGTCATTGATGAGACCGGCAGGATTATTCCGTAAAAAAGCTATATAATGTCAAAAAAAAAACACAAAATGCAACTGCTTCATTCCGCGTTTGGTCGCTGTGTGTCACCTATGAAGGAAAGACTCAACGATACAATACGCTCAATGACCATGCTACAAGTCAGTTCCCCAGCATGCTTTGTTGGTTGCAGAGTGCCGAGATAGTGTGTAGAGTATATCGCTGGGAAGGTGAGACAGAAAATTCAAAATTGTTTGAGAAACAAGATCACATCTGGATGATTTTATGGCGATTGTGTGCATTTGTCTGCATGTGATATTTGCTATGTGAGAAAATTATTACTGAATATGCTGACCGAGAAGTATATCTATTAGCCGTACCAGACGGGTTATTTGTGTTGTTCTTTTTGAAGAGAGGTTATGTTCTAAGTTATACATTACAATTTTCCCCGGTTTTCTTGCGTTTTCAAAAACGTTGAGCAGCTTTACGGGAAATCACCACCGTGGTCGCATTTTGTGTAATTAAGAGACATCACAAAAAAAAATAGGAATGTCGCATCACACACAAAACATTTTCGAAGTGCCTCACATCTAGGCGCTGATTTGTATTTTTTACTTGACATCACAAAACATTATTTCTATGAAATTTAAATGAATGGAAACAAAATATAATGTAAAATGTAATAACCTTTTCACGTGTCATAAATATTCCTGTTTGTAGACTATTTTCTCGCCTTTTGCAGTATACCTCAACATTTTCTTTTTGTTTCTCTCTCATTTTTGAAATTCAGCAATTTGCATAACTATGTAATTTCTAGGATGATGTAAGTGTATTTGAGACAAGAGGAATTATCAACAGCACACAATATAATAATAATCTTATTAGCCCACAGATCCTCACTATGTACTGTCGTTTCCTTAAAGCTATAGTATACAACTTACAGCTCAGACCTCCAATAATGCCATCTCTGAAGCAGATGTTACATCCCATTAGAGTCAAACATTGATATCTGAAGCGTCATGACGTTTGGGCAACACGTACAGCTACAGAACGAGTGCAAATCAAGTGAACGACATCTAGTTAGGTTAGGTTACAAGTTGGCATCTTGTAGAAAATAATGTTCCTTTTCAAGCTACGTAATAGCCCTGCGGAACTTCGTTCAACAAAGAGGTGTTTTAAACATGTTTGGTTAAGCCAGACAATCATGGGGGAGTATCAACAGAATTTAACTTATCCGCATGATTTAAGGAAATGCAATGAAACAACCTTCACAACCATTTTCTTTTTTAATATTTACACGAAGCACTCAACACTATATACAATACATAAACTATTGCATTTTTACTCATTAACAACTGTCATCTTCAAATCAAATATATACAACACAAATAAATGCAACATCTCAGTATCAACTATCATTTGCACACAAAAAAAAGATAAAAAAGCGAAACCATTTTTAAAAATGTATCACAATAAATTAACGTCTCTAAAAAAATAAATACTAATAAAATTTTGGTTACGTTATAAAAACGACGCTGCAACGAAATGGAATGAACTTAAGTCGGTTTAGTTCACAGTTAGCTCCAACTGACGTCATAGCCGCGCCAGTTTGCAGTAGGAGCTAGGTGTACTATTTTATTCTTATAGTGAAATGTCACTATTCCTTTATAAGCAGTCCTCGGCACACCACTCTAAAAACAGGAAGCAGGTAATAAGTTTTCATTTCATTCAACGAATTAACTAATTAGACAATCGAAATAACGCTTCTGTAAGAATTGTAGAATCAGCAAACCAATGCACGTTTCAGATAATATAAATAATAAAAACATCGGTTCATTTTTTGTCCAGAAAACCGCAAAAAAATCATTAAGATGCCAAATTTTTAGATAGGTAATAATGGCTTCAGAAGTCAATCGTCAATTTCGCTGCCACGGGAACTCAAAATATAATAATAATTTAGGATCGATTCATATAATACAGGGTGGCCGATATGTAACTGACTGGTAGGTATCTTGAATTTTTGTGAAATGAAATAAAATACGTCCATTTTTTTCAACTTATCTTTTGTTGAAACTTGGAAATTATGTATGAAAAATAATATCAGACAAATGAAGCCGCGCAAACCTGATCCCTCTTGATTACATTTTCCACCACTTTTTGATAGGTTTCGGGGAGAATATTTTCAATCGCTTCCGTAATATTGTTCTTGAGCTGTTCTACAGTATTTGGTTTGTTTGCATAAGCCCCATTTTTCAAAAATCTTCATAAAAAAGTCAGAAGCCGTTTAATCCGGTGACCTTGGTGGCAAGTTAACATCACCAAATCGAGAAATTAAACGTCCCGGAAATGTTCGCAAAAGATTCATTGTTTACCTAGCTGTGTGACAAGTATCAAAAATTCGCGCAATTTAAATCAGTCAGTTATATATTGGTCACCCTGTAAAATGGTTAAAAAGAAAAATCCATAAAATAATACCTTGAAGTCATCCATCAGTCCTAACTTCTTAGTGATCAGTTTGTACTCCTCACGAGTCCTATAAGTAATTCTAACTGGTACCTCCTGGGTCACCCTACCGTTACGGAGATCTTCGTAATTAACAATCGGGCTTTGGTAAACTTTTTTAACAAAGTCTCTATCATAGTTTTCCTGAAAAAATTATCTTGAAAGTGTGTGGACGTTCGTACGATTTCCCTTTCAAAATTGTAGTGGGAGATATAGTCAATCTGCTTGGCGCCATTTTTTATTATTTACCTAAGAAAATAAATGCTCCTTCTCAATAGGGCATTGCGGTCAGTAATTGTGATTTCATAGTGAAAATACGATTTTTTCAAAGTCATTAGACTATTTCCTTCTTTGTTTTCTAACTCACCTTCAGCAAATAGGAAAGATTCATTTTGGTAAAAGGCACGAATTCCTCATTCAACTTGATGAACTTCAAATGTTTCTCGAAAAACAGACCACTGAAACAAAAAAAAACAATGAAATGTCTGCAAAATGGTGGATATGTCCAGTACTCACTTGGAAACGCCAGCTTTTCCGAATGTTCTCGTCCTTGAAATCTCTGGTCGTATACAAGATCTGCCTTTTCTTTGCGCTGGATCCCGAATCCAATCGTCCCAGTACCTAAAATATACAGAGTGATCGATAATTAAATATCAACCGTCAAACAGCGAATTCTCTTAAAAAAGAAAAGGTCACTATAAATAAGAGGAGAAATTGACTTATTTCACCGCTCTTAATGTATTCCAAAAGCGATTCACCTCAAACAATCGCAGATCTCTAAGGTCCTCTAATAGTCCAGCACATGTTTGACCTGGTTGATTTTGTTATCATAAGGCTCTGGAATGCTTATATCTTATATCAACGTCATTGGCATTGCACATTTAAATATTTAGTTAAAAAAATAGACATGTTCATGAATGAATAATCGACAGACGATACAAAAAATAACAAGCATATTCTCTATTATGATTTTAAGTATCCTATACTCATTATTTTAAGTATTACTGGAAGTTTTTTTATTATTTTACATTTTTGGGTTGCTAAGCATCATTTACTTTGTGTTACATTCAACATGATACCCTATAGTTAACAAAGCATTATTTTGTATTACAAACCTCAGAAGAACATATTTCTAGTTACTCTTTACTACATGGATGGTGCGAATTTGTCAACAGTTGTGTCAGTCTAATTTTAAATGCATCCATAAATAGGCACGTGTGCGTCATTCAAATAGATAATAGCTCATGATATAGTAAAACTTAATGATCATATCATTATCAATTATGCAATTATGCAGATAGAATAGAGACAACATTACAGAAATCGCGACATAGTAACAAAGTAAAAATAATTTCAGACTCACAATCTTATTTAGATATGTAGTCAGGTATAAAAATGCGCTCGTAGAAGTACCTTGCTACTTTCCCATAATATTTCATGTTTTGAAGCGAAACAAATTCATAGAAATCCTCAAAAACCCAGGCACATGAAACTGGAAGGTATCAAAATGTTACATTTCAAAAAAATTAGCCGCTTCGTTTTTGAAACATGTGGCTCGAAAAATGATACATACTTAGTTTCCATGATACTGATGAAAATGAATGAATGAATGGCCTCCACAGTGGCATTTGTCAAAGTACAAATTATAATAACAATGACAATTATTTTATATTCCAGTTTTTTTTTCTTCTATTCGCTAAATGTCATTGTGATTAATTTGTACTTCGAAAACGCCCACCGAGGTGTCGGAAACGTCAGTAAAAAATAAAACACAGCACAGGATAAATTTCAGGTTACATTAGAAAACAACACTATACAAATGAAAAACTAATCATGAAATAGTTTCTGTCATATTCGAATTCGAATGCTCTTTACATTATAAAGGAGCCAAACGTGTTATTCCCCCTACAGGGGCGGATTCAGGAATCTATCTAGGCGGTCGCAGAGGAAGATGTTCGTCTGGGGGAGGGAGAAGCACTTTAGAGCAAACATCCTTGGAACAATTGAAGAGCGGTGGGGGGTGGTATACGTCTAGGGGAGGGGATGCACGATTCAGGGCTAGCAAGATAATTTTCACACCACAATACAGCAGTATATACCATGGGCGCCGATTATTTGCGAGAAATTTCGCCTTCGACTGTCGCGCTAGCAAAAAACAAATGGAAAAAGATAGTAAACAAGACATACGCTCTGGGCCACTTGGTATACAGTTCCATCCAAAGAGACTTGGAGAGCATCCATCCGAGACCAGGAAAAAAGTCGGTGCGGTACAAAAGGTCTGGACGTTCGGTGTTCACCAAGCTCTCTTTTCCGTTGTCGTTCCACGCTGATATGCACCATAACGAGGGATCCTTTATCAACACAGGATAAGTACCAAGGAAGTATTCGAAGAAGTCAGGAGCTATCTCTAAATCATCTGAAAATTGTATGTCAATTGTTCTAAAAACGTTTTGATGCCAAGTCCCAAATATGATATTATGAAGTCTGGCAAGAAATGGAACTATTGCTACTTATGATATAACTATTTTAATCTGAATTTAAGCTAGCCATATGTGCTAAGATTGGTAGGAGACAGCCTTCCAGTTACCAAAAGGGCGCAGTTTGGTGTGTATGGCGAGCTTAAGCTAAGGGAGTGACACCAACAAAAAATATAAACACGGTGTCCCATTTTAATCTCCCCACCTAAATATTTCGAAAACTGATCATTCCAGGAAAGAAAAAGAGTCAATCAAAAATTGTATGGTTTCAAGAGAGCAAAATGATGGTGACCTTCACAATGACCTTCGAGGTCATTTCAAAATCAGGTGAATACTTTTAAATGTAACTGCCTCTTTCACATCGGAATTGAAAAGAAGAGCAAATTTACGGCTGAAGATCGCCTCGGACTTGGGCTTGACCATTTCCTTCAATGCCGTTTATGAGGATCGAAGTGACCTTGACCTCATAGTCAAAGCCAAGCCGAAATTTGCAAAGAAACCTCTCATGTTTATACTGGAAATTAAAAAAGCAGAACATTTTGGTTCCATTTGAAAATAGTCACTTGAGCTTGAAATGACCCTGAATATCGTAGTCAAGGTCACGGTTAAGGCCATAATTTTTCTCCCTATAAGCCCCACAGCTTTCGTTTGAAACTTTTTTTCTAGAACGCGCAATTTTCAGAATATTTAGGAGGTAAGATTGACATATAATTGTTTTCAAGGTTTTTGGCAGTTACGTCATCAATGCCATACAAAATAAGTTTGCAAATCGACTTACTGAACCAAGTGCGGAACTGAAGCTCCATAAGACAATTACACACTGGGCAAACCGATCTTAAACGCGGCTGCTCTTTCACACATAGACTGAATAATAATGATTGCTTTCATTCACTTTCTCAAAATGTTCCAATAATTTTGGCAAAAAGTATCAATATTATCCATTAATTGTATTTTCCGGTAACAAGCATAGCTTATGTTGGCGAGAAAATTTTCTACGTAGCGATACAAAGTTAAAGAACGTATGTCCGAGATAGCACAAACCAATGTTCGCGCACAGAGGCACATGTTTGTGTGAGGAAAATGGATGTATCAAAGTGATGGTTGAAGTCTAGTGTGACCCGCCAAAAACCGTGAAATCAGCTATACTGAATCAATTCATTCCATAATTATACACATTTGCAAATATAATTTCAAAACATGACTAGTCTGTATTCATATTATGTATTTGAAAAATTTTCAAATATCTCACAACAGCAAGAAGTTACATACCTTCAACAATAATCACAGTGCTGAAATTAAAATTAAAAAACATCTGGTTCAAAGCCCAACCGTAGTGTCGCGCGATTTTGAAATACCCCTTGAATTTCTTCTCTTTTGGAGGAACTTGAATATCAGACTGATCTGGTTGTTGTATAAGAGATAACTGTGAACCATACTTTAGGATTGTATCTCTTGTCTCCTCATGATCACAGTCCTGCAAACATCAAAAATTGCTAATGTCAGAGTGATTATACATACGTCAGAAGGCTAGGTTTCAGGTATATCTGAAAGACAGTTTCAATCTACACTTCATACATCATAATACAGAATTTCTGAAGTATTTTCTCCAAATATCATTTCATTTTCCAAGCATAAGTATTTTGATTGTGAAGATTTTAGTCTTTTTGAGGTTTCATAATGCATACAACTTGAAAATACTTGTCACTTATTTCCTTCAGTCTATGTATTGGTCTATTTAGCCATTTTCTGCATAACCTTAGAAAGGGCGGCACTGATTTTGATGAAATTTAATTCTCAATATTCTTTTTTGTAAGTTATATGGCTTTCTGATGAATTTGGCCGTAAATTAAATTTTTTTAGGGTCAAAATTTTGTGAAAATTACATTAGGGCATAGTTAAAAACAAATTGGGGAGATAAGCAATTTAAAAATTTTTGGAGTTACATTATATATTATTGTTATATTCAACAATTCAAAAACCAGAGAATTACTACATATACACGTTTGACTTTTTGTGTCATTTTTATCTCTCAAGCACTTCAGAAAAATATGTGACTTCTTTCTAAGCTAGCCTGTATATACAAGCAACAAGTAAATCAATTATATCATTTAAACAAGGGATAACAAGATCAAAAGCAAAATCCAATTAGTGCTAATCTACTTATGTGCATTTTAGCTTAACCCGTTAGTCTATTAATTCCTATTATATGATTTCTAACACGTGTTTTTAAATCTATAATAAAATATTCCACATGCTGTGATCTGTGAACTGTAACCACATTACTACACTATGAATACAATGGCTACTAATATGTGGCAACCCAATATTTTTTGTTTGCTTCATTTTCAGATAAAAAAAATGAATAGGACCATCACCCATGTAATTACTGACAGGAAATTATCTAAAGGACATTAAACCAGCTATAAAGCTCAGACTAATGACACAAAACAACTAACAAAATGAAAATCGCTTATAACTGACTGGTTACATTTCAGGCCCCATGCAACATTTAGAACATAAAGAAATGGTATAGAAAAACTTTCTAAATATGTTTTACCTCAAATGAGCTGTCTATAACACTCCCTTATCTGTTAGAATAAACTAAAATGTGTAACACCATTGATTAGGTTTCCTATTTGATTTAGTTTCCTTTGATTTTGGTGAAACTTGATTGATTCAATAGATTAGAATATGAAATATAGACAAATAAGCAAAACTAATAGATGGGCATGATGGTTAATGAAATTGTTAAATCAAATTTAAGTATTTGAAGTTGAGTCATTAATTTTCAGATAATGATTGTAGAAGGAAGATAAACCAGAATATGTGTGTAAAAATAAAAAAAAATTAAAAAAAAAATTTTACCTTGTTTTATAAAGTATCCTCCCGACAAGTATTTCAGTGCGGACCTGTATTTGATCGTGAGGTCCCCTGTGAGGTCTTAAGTCACCTGATTCACGAGCCCGTTGTACTACATTAACAAAGGCACGAGGGGTTGGTTGCACTCGTTTGGGAAACCGATCCGCATAAACATGTGCCATTTTTTCGTTTGAGCCACGCAACAGAAACTATTCACACGCTAACCGACAGATACTGACAGTATGTATAACTGAACTGAATAAAACACTTAATTGCAAAAACGTCGTTCCAAATTCTTTCGCTTTTTTGTTTCCGATGCGATGAACCGGTAAGGCGGATTATATCCGTTGTTGCCAAACACGAGTACATGATATTATTATTGAGACAGGGTGGTACTCAAACTTCCAAAGGGCTATAACTTTGTTACTTTAATTTTACCAGAAAAATGGTAAAGGAAAAAAACATTTCTTTTGATCAGATCTACTCACTGTTAAAATAAATGACTCAACTTCGAAGTCACCCTGTATATATATATACATATATAAAATTAAAAATTCTTATTTTAAGTATGCATTAGTAAAGTGGATACGTTAAAGTAACTTAAACAAAATTACATCAATTTATTCGCTGAAATGTCGATACAAATGGTCATGTAATCTACAAGAACCTATTTTATTTTGAACTATAGCAATGATAGATGGTCAAGTAATAAGCATTTGAACATAAATACTTTATGTGAATATAACTTTTGGAAATTAACCTATTGAAGGCGAATGTCACACAATAAGTACTAACTGTGATCCATCAGTATTTATGCTATTTATCATGGAATATGATATTTTGGTCTAAGAAAACCAGGTTAAAAATGGTGGATCAGAGCCAATAGCTCATGTAGTTTTAAAAACTGGTAGAGCTATTTCTTGAGGTGTTCAGATGAGGGAGGTAGGCCACTGATGGGAGAGTGGTAAAGGTTCCTTATTTCAGGTTTTTGCATGCATCTTGTATACCAGGACTGTCCAACTTAATGTGGCCCAAGGGCCACTTCAAAAAAAAATGCAGTTTGGAGCGCCGCATTATAAAATCTTTCTATACAACATGATTACAGAGTTGGACAGCCCTGTTGTGTACTATCAATGATATTTTTATAATTCCCTCTAGACAATTTACACTAAATTTATATACAAAAAATTATGTCATATACAGTGGGATCAATTCTTTAGGAGGTAGATGGTACCTTCTCTATATAATTAGGAGAGTATCACTATAGTGCCACCAACAACTCTCTATTGCTCAGTTCAATTGTAACTTAATATAACTTATGGATATGGTAAAACAAACCAGAATAAATATGGAGCTTACTCAATTTGATTTATCAACAAATTCATCCTGGTGAGTTATATAAAGTTAGATTTATACCAACTATAGAGCAAAAATTCTTGGTAAGGCTATGGATGCTCTCCAGTATATGTAAATATGAATGTCTGTACAGCCTCTCAACATCTGTCTAAGCTAATTAATACCCAAGGACTGCACTAGCAAAAGCCCAAATGCAGCAACTTAATGGTGCTTACACCTGAAATGTCAAAATCTATCCAGCCATTTGGCCTGTAGCCTGTGAAATATAAATTGCTAGTTCAGATGCTACAGCTTAAATGACTTGATGGATTTTGACATAAAAGGTCTCTATAGATTTGCTTTGATAGTGCGAGTGACAATGAGTATAAAAAAATTCTTAAATCAAAAATGCAGTTTCTATACTTCAACTTTGAAATTTCTATTTCATTACTACATGCTTGGGAGATTTTGAAATTTGAAGTGTCATCAAATTCATCTTGATAGCACTCCTTCCAGTTACTGTAGTTTGGCTTTTTGTATTTTTTAAAAGCATACTCATTTATTTTTACTCACCCTGTTGCTCCTAAAGTATTGATCTTACATTAGAAATGTACGACATAATTTGATGCAAATTTAATAAGGATTGGCAATGTAGAAGCAATTATGAAGATATTGTCAATAGTTTAGGAGATGCATGCAAAAACATCAAAATAAGAAGATACATACATAAGAATCTACTGACACTGACCAAATAATAAATACTGATGGACCACAATAAATACTGATCATATGATATTCACCAAATCCATCTGTATGTTATCCTGTAACCTGTTTTATTTTAAATTTTGTAGAAGAGTGCTGACGAAACCAAAACCTCAGTGAAGTACAGTATCTGGGATTTTATTCATTAGTTAGAATGTGTAGATACTTCATGTTAATATACCTTACATCCTTAATCAAATCTATAGAAACAATGTGTAATAAAGTAGCGAGATCCATGATAGAGCTTGATATCCTCTTAAAAGCTGTAACCTGTGTAGCCTTAATTAATACTGTAAAATATGTACTTTTTATCACATACCTGGCTAACAATAATAGGAAACTGGTCAGGATCTGGTCGGTACTTTAAAAGTTTATCCAAGCACCTACTAACAGTAATTCTATTACATGCAAATACTAAGATAGGAAGTTTCACTTCTTGCAGTTCTTTTGGCAGAGTCTTCTCTTTGCTAACATCTCCTGCCTTTTTAATTTCAAGCAGCTTATGAGCATTCTTTATAATGTTCTTGTTCTTCTCAAACTGCTCCGATATACCATGTTCTAATTTCAATATTTGTCTATCAACATTATAACTACTGGAGACATCACTGTGGTATATTGGTTTAAAGGAAATTGTAACATAAAGCACTGCAGACCATACCAATAATATTAAGAATACTACTAGATTTGTGCGTTTTATTCGCATGTTAGTCAGAATCGACTGAAATCTATTGTGGATAAACCCGAGTTCCTGTAAAATCCGCTAAAACAGTTGTACGTTGATGAATGATTTGCCTCTTCAATCATATTGCGTAAAATTTGTTATCACAAGTGCACTGTGACTGCCCAGATATCTGACTACATTATTCTGTTTCGTTTTTAATTGGAAATTTTTTGAACACGTAATAAAAGTCCACAACAGGAAAGTGTACATTGAATTGTACAATGAATTGACACGTAAACGTCAGTGGTCAGAGTCGTCAGTGTCGACACACTAACAAAAACATAACTGCTGGACTAGACACTAGTCACCCACCAGTGACACATGACAATGTCACGATTGACAAAACTCACAGCAAAGTGTGAACTAGATAAAAACTTGAAGACTGTACCAGAGGAAATATTTATAAGACTCGATTGTCTGCCGAGTTACCGCTCCCACACGATGTGGCGAATGCCTTACAGCGTTGGACACATTGCAATTCACCACATCATGTGGGAGAGCGCTAACGGATTGCATGTGTTCAACGTTCGCCTCACGGCATGTTCGGGCTCTTGTCGGTAAATTTGAGCCGCGTCAAAGGGCTTTACAACGTTGGAAGCATGGTTCGTTACGCTCTCACACAAGACGTCATGAGTTTGGTGGTTTTAGGTCACACCCACTAGCGGCGACAAACATTATTTATTTGTTTGCTGTGATTGTGGTGAAGAAGTGATATGTGGGAAGTATTTTGATTTGAATACCTACCTATTCATAATAATCTATGTTCCGTAACTAACTTTTGAGAAGAATGAATTAAATTAGTATACATACAAAACATAGTCATAACAGCACTTTTTTCATTTTGCTAATATTTTGTACGTTTTGTAGGTGAGTTATGGCTGGCCTAAGGATATGTATTTTAGTGAATTATAAAATATCAAGCGCTTACAGTTGTTTCATTATAATGTCCTGTTGCAATCCAGGACTAGTTGAGAAATATATTAACTTGCATTTCATAACTAACGAAAAAGATCAAAGAAATGATAACTCTGAAAGTACTATCACGATTTTGATGAAATTTTGACCCTTGGTTACTACTATGAAAATGAAAAAGCTCTGCAATTTTTGAAAATCGGTACAGTGGCGGTGGAGCTATCGTCGAAGAACAAACAAAAAACGGTCAAACTTCATTTTTCGCTTCTGACAGACTTAGGCCTGTATCGTCAGTCGTCCCTACAATTGTAGGGCGCCTTTATGGCCTCCTAGATTGTCATAATTTTCTACTTCTCCGTATCAGAACTCTATTTTGAGGTTATGTCACAAACATCTATTTGCATCAAATTGTGCTTGCTTTTGAGTTATATCATGTTTTATCAACCTGAAATTTCCTACAATTTAAAAAGAAAACATATCTTCACAATAGGAGAGCGTTGACGCTGACACGGGACAAGTCTAATCTAGAAATTTTTGAAGGAGTAAGGCCTATGACAATCAAGGAGGCCATAAACGCACCCTACAATTGTAGGGACGACTGACGATACGGGCCTTAGGTCTTGATCGCTGAGGACAGGTCTGAAATTATTTTTCGGCGTTCGAAAAAATTGTTTCATCGTTTATTTTGTATAATTTTTCCTTCAGTTGTAAAGGTTCAAGCGCGACACTGACACCGATAATAGACGTTGGCACCACCATGTGTCGAACGTCCGAGACTACAAAGTTCATCCCATCATGTAGGACAGGGCTGTCCCACTTAATGTGGCCTAAGGACCACTTCAAAAAAAAAATGCAGTTTGGAGCGCCGCATTATAAAATCTTCCAATACAACATTATTACTGAGTTTTAATAGGTATATGCTTATTCGGTATTTGAGAGTAATTTATACTTGTGATGTATACATGACCCGTGAAGCGGGCCGCAAGAAAGGAGTTCGCGGGCCTCATGCGTATGTTGGACAGCCCTGGTCACACTTAGTGTGCAATTGTGTGGTGTCGAACATTGTAAACAACGTTGGAAGCATCGTGTGGGACCCGCATTATACCACTTCTATATTTAAATTCATCATGTTTCCCAGCGCACATGAAGTGCTCCATCTAGTTCACATGTTTCTATACCTAGGGCAAATTGTCACCAACAGAGGCTGCCTTTTATTTATTTCAAATGTCAAATGTATAGGTTAGATACGTGGCTGAAACAATTTTTAGAAACTACCACGTAATTCTGATAAATTATGGCTACTATAATCCATTTCCTTTTATTCGCAATCTATTGCATTAACCAGAGCCTTGCATACTTCATAACTGTAGACGCACACGCCGAAGAATGTTTTTTCGAAAAAGTAGACGCTGGCACAAAGTTGGGTAAGCACCAAAAGTACATCAGCTCGAAGCGGTTTCTTGTGACAGAAACAACACCTAAAACATACTTTTTAATGTATTTTACTATGATTATATTGAAATTACAGGACTGGCATTTGAAATAGCTGAAGGAGGTTTCTTGGACATAGATGTCCGTATCTTAGGACCAGATGGAAGCACTATTTATCAGGCTGAAAGAGAGACCTCTGGGAAATATACATTTGCAGCCCATACATCAGGTGTATACACATACTGCTTCTCAAATAAAATGTCTACCATGACACCTAAAGTGGTAATGTTTCATATGGCTGTTGGCGATTCCCCCAAAGTTGAGGCTGAAGAAGGAAAAACTCATAACAAGTTAGAAGATATGATAAAGGAACTAAGTGGTATGTATAATCATAGCCTCTGATATTTTTTAAGTATTTTATCAAATATAGCAAACTAAAATTGAATTATACTTTTATGTTGGACTCCTTACCTGTTTTTTTTTTCAGCACAACTGACTAGTGTAAAACAGGAACAGGAATACATGCAAATAAGGGACAGAATCCATCGCAGTATCAATGAAAGCACAAACTCCAGGGTTGTGATGTGGTCCTTTTTTGAAGCACTCATTCTCATAGCAATGACGCTAGGTCAAGTGTACTATCTCAAAAGATTTTTTGAAGTTAGGAGGGTAGTCTAAATTATGTTTAAGGGTTGTTTTTTCAGCCTTGATATAAGGACTTATACACAGGATCAGATATATTTGGAGATACCGAGTGGTATTGTGGCAATAGATGTTTCACTGTATACTGCAAATGTCAAAAATTTGCTATCAGTAGATGTGAGGTATATAGGATATTCAATTCTGACTGTAACACTCAAGTTATTAAGGTATTACCTTCAATAAGTTTGACTTGTATAATTGAGACTGCAAAAAATGATGCATGGTTTCAATATTTCCCTTTGAAGATCTCAAGCCAACCGTTTCTTGTGTATCCCTCATGTCTTTTAAGAATTCTATAGATGCAACACATCTAAAAAACTTTGATCCAATTTTTGCATCTAGTATGTAATAATTTTGTGAAATTGTACATTTTTTGCGGAACAGTAAAAACCTGTGTATTCTAAGCTAGGAAAATTGCAGTTTTTGTTTTTTTTTTGTTTTCAATACCCTTCCAATTTTTCTAGCCAATTGAAATGTGTATATATTTGTTCATGTAAATTTAATTTGTGAATGTCATCTGTTGTAAATTGAATAACATTTAAATACAGAATTTTGTTAATATTTTTTTTTTCAGTCTATATTCAGAAAATCCAATAAATCTTACCAAATCTGTGATAAACAGTAAGAACATCTTGAACTAAATAATTTACCTCCTATACAGTTAAATTCACGTTACCATTATTTATTTGAAAGACAATAAATAACATTTTTTATATCCATTTTATTTAATAACAAAAATGTACATTAAACTAAAATATATACCACCTACAAGGCTCAACGATACAAATGGTCTGCATGAATGTTAGCAGCAATTTCAGACTCCCATTTATCTCCATTGTTCAAAAGTTTTTCTTTATTGTACAGAAGTTCCTCATGGGTCTCAGTAGAGAACTCAAAGTTAGGTCCTTCCACAATAGCATCTACTGGACATGCCTCCTGGCAAAATCCACAGTAAATGCACTTTGTCATGTCAATGTCATATCTTGTGGTTCGCCTAGATCCATCGGCACGTTCTTCAGCTTCAATGGTAATAGCCTGAAATAAAAATTTGCATTTGGTCTAATAGAGTTACATACATTGAAAATCTAAGGGCTGATGCAATTAAGCATGAAAATGTAAACCAACTTGAGAGATCAAGAGTGATCTTGAGACATAAAATGTTGTGCCAATACACTTAGTGTGATTTTAAGCATATTATTAAAAATGCATGTTCCTGTGGCTTTAACTTACTATTACTATAAGACTGACACACTAGCTATCTGACACCCCTACCACACTATATAGGGTGTTATGATATTCTTGTATAAATTTCTTCATCCTGTATTTAGCTTGCTAACTTGAACTACTATATAAGCATGCTAAAGTTGGGCAAGTACTCTTATGAAGCTATGTATTATAGTGTAAAATTATTTTTATGCTAACCTGTGCCGGGCAAATGGCTTCACAAAGCTTGCAAGCAATGCAGCGTTCTTCTCCAGAAGGGTACCGCCTCAAAGCATGTTCACCTCGGAATCTAGGACTCAAAGGTCCTTTTTCAAATGGATAGTTGATGGTTGCTGGTTCTTTGAAGATTTGCGCCAGTGTAACACCAAAACCTCGAATCAACTCGGTGAAAAATATGGTTTGTGCGGCACGATCTGTAAAACAAGAAGTTTAATGCGAGTGCTGCCATAGAATTCAGAATAAAGTAATTCATACCTTCAAACTCTTACCTGTTATGTCATTCAGGTCCATACTGGGGTCTTTATCGTTAACGTAGATATACCCATCTTTTGGAGGGCTCCCAATGTACCTTTGGTTGATTAGTTGAGCGCTGGGCCTAACATATCGTGACCCTGCAATTCATAGGGATCAATAGTTGGGTACATGTATGTTGAATGTTAAACTTACCAGTCTTTGCAACTGAAAATATTTTTGTTATGGCAGAATTCATTTTATATTTCCTTTTATTGCTGTTATATCACCCGCAGGAGTTGTCAAGTACTTGTCACACATACATAACCTTAAAAAGCACATATTGGTCTATTGATGTAGAATGTAGCATCATTTGTACTGTGACTGAAGTTTAGGAGTTATTAATGTCGCCATCTTTTTATTTTGCGCAGAGCCAGCACACGACAGGAAGATATAGTACAGTCATTTTGGTCAACTTTTGCTAGCTCCAACAGTCATAATTCAGGTGTCATTAGGATTTCTAAAGCACTACTATTTAGAGCAAAAGAAGTGAGGTGACAATTTCCTTGTAATACATCAATAATTTTAAAAAAAAATGTAGAGTATAGCGAATTTTTGAAACTGTAGACATGATTTAAACAGGTGAAGAAATAGACATAAAAACTTCCAAACTTGTTTATGATAATTTTTCACAATATTACACTTAAGAATTACAGGTAAAAAAATATTTACAAAAATAAATAATACTGCATCTACACCATATTTACAATTATTTTGTACTAAAATAGGTATGTCCATCAGCTCAGTAACGCAGTCAGAGCATCAAAAAACCGAGTCCGGTCCTTGGTATGAATTTCAAAATCTGAAAAAGATAATATTTATTAATCTTTAATACATTTATTACAAATTTCTTTTTTCTGATCAACTTTTTAAAACCTATTTATTACTTACATGAGGTATCAAAATAGTCACATTTGGAATCACAGTTAATTCTTTCAGCAGCTTGTTCAAACGCCTTCCCAAAAAAACTAGAAACAATAACATTAATACAATAAAAACATGCTAAGTTCAGAACGCTTACTTTTTCGGCGAGTTTTCACAAAGTGGTGGTATCCCAAGAATTATGCAGGTGCCAGCATCCATGCTTTTTGGAGCAGATACCACAAGTGGAAGTGATGGGGCCTTTCTGTTTCGAGATACTGCTACATATGCTCTCAGTATAAAATGGGCCAGCAGCAAAAGTATCTGAAGATGAGAGAACATATACCAATCCAAACAACCCTGAAACAAACATACAGCTAGAATGAGGGAAAAGACAATTAAATGTGTTTAAAAAAAAACTATAATTACCTACTTTCATATTACATAATTCTAAAAACGTGGAAAGTTACCTCTTGTATGATGTAATAGACAAAAGGTCCAGCTGTGATTATCTGCTTCAGATCTAAGGCACTTTGGGCAGTCTTGAACAAGGTCTTCACTATTATTTTTGCCCTTTCAATTGCACTATCCAAAACCTCCTTTTTGCTTCGTGATAAACAATCCAAGGCCAAATTGAACAGCTCCTCTGGCTTCTTATCTCTAGGCTAAAACAAAATATTATATCAGGCACAAAAAATGACCAGTATCACCGTCAATATTTCACACTGTGTCACTGACATGATAACAAAAATCCAAACAACTCTGTATAAATTTACAGGAATATTTCCAACAAATATTCAGTAAATACTTACTGATGCTTCTAATATGGCAAGTAATGCATAAACTATATCTGCAGCGCAATATTTGTTCCTGTATCCATACTGCAATGTGAAGGATGCATAAACAAGATCCTGTAAACCATATTTCTCAGAAAGCTTCTCCAGCACTTCATGAAACTCTTTTCTCAATTGTAGATCCATACTTTTGAAGGCTTGTCGGCTTTGAATCAATGGAAAACTAAAAAAAAAACATTCTTTTTTGAACATTTTTTTTAGTATCTAATTTAAAAGTCCATCCGGATTGTCAGTGAGTGTCACTCGGGCGTCCATGAGGTTGTACCATTGATCAATTTTGGAAGAACGGCATTTGAACAACTATTGCAACTGTCAAAGTCGCCTAAATACAAGAATGAGGTACTTCCCAATTTTTTTTATTTAAAGTTTATATGTAACATTTCGCGCCATGATATATGAACTAATGCCACTTAATAAGTTTTTTCATGCCCTTTCTTTAAAATGTGTCCACTTTCAACATTTGTAATGAAGGGTCAAGTGAAACTTCATTTTGAAGCACTGTATAGTATAACTCTAGAATATAAATTCACTCTTTCAAAATAGCGAACTAACGAACGTGAGTCTGTATAGCCTATGCGATCTGGTATAAGGGCACATATATATATATATATATATATATATGTTACAGGCAAAGCCCGAAGCGCGGGCAATCCGAGGAATGACTAGTCATTTCGCGAAGTGGCCAGAATATTCGGTCAAAGTCCGAAATACTCTTGAGTTCCGGACATTAACTGCGGCTCTTTTAGTCAATCCTAGGAGTGACTGACCCACCTCGTCAAAGTCCGAAACGAAGAAACGCTCATCGGACTCTGACTAGGCGATCCTAGATGTGGCGAAAATCGGACTTGGACTAAATAATGTTAATTAAATAATAAACATTTATTAACAAAATATACTTCTCATATAGGCACACAAAATAAAAACTCTGTTGAGCGAAACATTTCAAAATGAAATGAAATACCTATCTTAAAATGTTGGATATTATTTTTAATCATTAATAAACTAAAATGTATTTTTTTAATATTAACATAAAAAAAGAAAATTGGCTGAGTTCAACAACGATACAATAGTGCAATAAAATATTAGCAGGTATATAGGTACCTACCTATACCTAAGTAAACTGAGCACACATTTATTTGTTTTGGCAATCATTAGATTTATGGCACTTAGAATTGCATAAAACTTTTGACCTTTTACATTTACACAAATTAGAAATGCATCGTTTACTGCAATCGCATTTAAGAAAACCCTGACCGCCAAATTTGGAATCTTTGCCACTAATTTCTCTTAAAGATAATTTAACATTAGGCACTTCATGAAGACTAAGCAAACGTTCCTTACATTCTTGAATTTGATTTCTGGAAAACAACGTATTAATCGTTCCATGTCTAGTACCTACTTTATAGAACCCGTCCTCAGTTTTCTCTGTTACAACACAAAGCAAATTTCGAGCATCACCTTTAGCCCTATCAACAGAAGGAATTGGTACCGTAACAGTGTTTCCCACTTCAACCGCAGGAAACTTTTGATTTGACAATTTTTCAATAGTATCCGCTTGAGCTTGAAGACCATCAATTGCCTTTTCTTTATTTGCAGACATACATTCTTTTTGCGCACACCTCGGACACGTTACTTTACTTCCAAAACCCTCTTCAGTTTCTAAAGTATTGTCTGCGCAAATCGCGTGGATAATTTGTCCACAGATGCAACAGGTATGTGCACCAGAACTTTCCTCTTGACAAACGCAGCATACATTCGTACCTGTGTGAAAGTCTTTATTAAAATTAGACGAGAAATAGGTTGTCAGGGGAAATGGAAGGTAACTTTACGCAATTCAATAATTATGTGCAGAAGATGTCACTGTTACTGCATCAATTCTTACTCCAATTTCCAATTTCCCCTATTTATGCTAATTTCAGTGTACTAATACCTACCGGTAGGTTCAGAATCTTGTTCCATTAGAACGCCTTCATTTCCTTGAAGCGTCGTTTCTAAAATAGCCCCGTCGCCGTCAGATGGGATCAGGGCATTTTCAAGATCTTCCTCAGTTCGAAGAAGCTTCTTTATTGTATCCGGGAGGGTCTGAATCCCAACATGAGCTTTTCTCCCTGCAACAAGTTAAAAATATGATTTCTTTTCTCATTCCCATAGCCCTTATTTTACATACCAAACATGACTTCAAATGGAGTTTGTTTGATTCCTGTGTGAAAAGCGTTATTTTTCTGAAGTTGGCAGAATTTCAGGCCTTCACTCCATCTGTTGGTCTTGTTGTCTTCCATCCATGCAAACAAAATTTTCTGGACTTCTTGGTTAGCCCTTTCGACGCTACCTTGACTCTCCGAATGGCGGGGTTTTCCATGTACAATAGTCAGTTGAGGCCATAAGGTTTTTAATTCTTCAATTATTCGGTTGGCGAATTCTCGGCCATTATCTGACTGAAGCACAGACGGGGCGCCGAAGGCACAAAAAATGTCTAACAGATTGTAGGCAACTTCTTCTGCGGTCTTGGTTTTTAAGGGACGCAAAATTACGAATTTACTTAAGTGATCCTGATAGTTCATTATAAATTTGAAGTCACCGTCACGGCACGTTTGCATGTCGATCAGATCAACTTGTGCCCGCGCTTGTATTTCCTTAAAAAGCAATGGTTTTACAACCAAACCCCGTTTGGGATGTTTTTTCTTCTTTTGACACGTTTTACATAGGTCTAAATAGATCGAGATACACTCTTTCGTAACATTTGCGTATTTATTTTTCAGCACCTTTATCGTTTGATCCCTACCGCCATGACCACATTCACGGTGAGCTGTGTGTATTACGTCGAACAGTTCCTTGTCTGTGATGTAGAATTTAACGTTTGGGTCGTCTAACACGGGTGTGATCAATTTCTTCACATTTCCAACGTGCCAAATATCATACCTTCTTAATCGTCGGTATTGCAGTGACGTTTTCGTCTTAGCGGCCTTAGCAGTTTCCACTTCAGCAATCAACTCGTCATATTTCTCTTGCGTTTCGATATGGAACGAACCCGACGATCTCTGTACACTACGCACTCTTTCCATAAATTTCACCTTCACTTCATCGAAGTTGTCTTCCTCAACGGTCCCGACAGTTGTCTCACTCATTTTAAATGCAACACAGAAATAAGGTTAGGAACATGTCATCTATAGCAGTGCTTGTGCTCAACTGAATGCGCAACAGTCAGAGTCCGATCTTCGCCCCATCTAGGATTGCCTAGTCAAAGTCCGGAGAGCGTTTCTTCGTTTCGGACTTTGACGAGGTGGGTCAGTCACTCCTAGGATTGACTAAAAGAGCCGCAGTTAATGTCCGGAACTCAAGAGTATTTCGGACTTTGACCGAATATTCTGGCCACTTCGCGAAATGACTAGTCATTCCTAGGATTGCCCGCGCTTCGGGCTTTGCCTGTAACATATTATATGTGGAAGCTGAAAATATCGTACTTCATGCAAAAAAATACAAGGTATTTTTTAAAAAAATGCAACTTTGTTCGGTAGCATTTCTGGGACATTCTGTATACATAAAAAGCATGAACAGAAAACTTTATATTACACCCTATACTATAACTTTTGTATGCGAGACTCTCCTTACACTAACTATTGCAATACAAAATTATGGTGTTCCATAAGCACACACATATCGCGTCATATACAAAGCCTGCGTGAGCTAGAATTGCAAAAGTCGGTCGAGAGGTGGCATTGAGGTCTGTACTCACCCCATATCGGCCAACAATTCGTGCAGCTTCTTGTCCCCCCTCAAGGACCACAGTTTCATCTTGACAGCAGTGAACATGGAATACTTCAGACTGTCCTCCACCGACCAATGTCTGTACAGCGCCAGCCTAAGGTCCTTCTCAAAGGCGATTTTCAGTGATGTAAGTACGTCAGTGTCATTCGTCATATTTTGCAGCCTGTTGGCATGCGCTTGGAGGGGTCCGATTTCCAGCGTATACTGGGTGTTCTCGATTTTGCCGAACAGCATCTGTTCTGTCAGGGCGACTATTGCTAACCACAGTAGGTCTTTGTCTTCTTTGTTTAGCTGCCAGGCGAGCTCGAACAGTCGGATAGCACTCTGCATTCAAGTACAAGAATTGCATCAAAATTCAAACCTATGTTACAGCTTTTTCTAATTGTTGTTTGGCATTTTGGCTGCATTTTTCAAAGTAAAATAAAGTATATATAAGTAGACCTCTAAATGTTATTGGATGTCTATAAATCCAAGGCAAATAGAAACCAACTGAAACAAAAACAAAGTTTGCAAATAATTTGAGATTCTCCGTAAATTGGGTTTTCAGCAGTGCTCCAAGAAATTTCAGAATGTGAGATTTCAAGTACTCAGTTTAGTTCAAATGAGCTAGAATTCCATAAGAAGTAAGGTCTGGTCTCCATGAAAATAGCCTGAAAGATGCATGTTTTTTTTTAAACTTACCGCCCTTGCATAGTATGTAAACTGGGAATAGTCAAATACAAGTTTATCGCGATTTTCTTCCCAAAGTCTTCGCTCTCTCCTTTTCATTATACTTTCTTCATCTAACCTTCTTCTTTTAGAAGCTCTATCTTCACTGCCACTGCCTTCTGAATCGTTTTCATCTTCTTCTTCTTCATCAGACTAAGAATTAAAAAATCAATTTTTATTTTTAAATTCAAATAAGCCTTTCTAAGTCTGATTTTAGCTATTTTTATTTTATTTTATACATAATTGCCCAACAGAACTATTCCAATTAGAGGACAAGATAATGGTATCTTTACTTATAATATGAGTACATACATATAATGTATACATAAAACTAATTTAAAAAGGGAATTAGCCATTACAATAGTACCTGAAATTCGACAAGATCTTACTGATACAATCAAAATTAATGTCAGAACTGTCTGCTATGGAATTGTTGCATATAGAATGTAGCAGAGAATAAAATAATACATTGGTACGGGAGGTACTGAAGTAGAAAGTTAGAGTTCTTCTCCTATTGAACCATGGAATACAGAAATTTAACCTCTGGAGAAGTCCTGGTGCATCCACTCTGTTGTGCAAAAGCTTATGAAGGAATGACAGGTCAGCAGTGGAACGACTTAACTGTAGAGACGCTAGTTCAAAACGACGCAGCAGAACAGATTGAGAGACCCCCCTTTCTGGATTTGTGCCATCGATTTGATAAACACAGTATTTAAGAAATTTTCTTTGTACATTTTCTAAGATGTTTATATAATACACATAGAAAGAAGCATACTCAAGTTTTGGTCGCACCAGTGAAATAAAAAGAGCTTTTGTCCAGTGTATATTGGCCAATTATTCTTGTTACTCTTTGACTAATAGACAGCTTCCATTTGGCTGATAAATTCACAATAGACAATAGTAATGATTTTACTATTTTCTATAACAATGAAGCAACATAATGCCTTTACAGTCCCCAGACTGCACATAAAACTGCTCCTCTGCTTTCGACTGCACACTTTAATTTGTTTTTTGCCAAACTTTATTTTAGTTTTTTGGTATAAGAGTTACAAAGTACCCATGCAGTATGATCATGTCAATAAAAAAAAAATTAATACTACAGTACTTAAAGCTAGTTACAATAAATATTACATGAACATGTAACACTTCATTATTTCATGTTGGTGAGATAAATAATAGATAAAAACACCCCCACCCTTACATAAGGCCATGAAAACTGGGAAATCCTTTATGGAATAACATTTGAGGTAGAAAGTGTTCAAGTTTTTTTTTAAAGTTTTACTGGACCTTTCGCATGTAGAAGCTTAAGAATAGACCCAGGTCTCATTAAACATAGTAAAAAGCCACTCTTCCAGAACTGTCAGTGCTGAATTTCGAAAAATATGCTGTGCCACCACAGTATATTTTCAGTATATCATTGTATGTATAATGTGTCCCCCTAAAATTGATGCCCCTCTTAACTTTTTTGTATGGCATATAGGAACAAACATATACCAAAGTTGTAGGGTCAAATATAAAGTTTTTCAGGCATCATCTTTCTTGTATCAAGGATGTATTAAAAAAGTGTTATCAAATATTGTATCTATCTAAATGGAACACCCTGTATATGTTATAAGCGGAACTGAAAGTCACTTTTTTCTGTCTCCAAATGTATATGGTTTGTTAGTTTAAGTGCATATAACTAGATGCAAATAAATGAACTACGACCTATTATACACATGAATAAATCATAAACAAAATTAAAGTTTATGACCAAACAAATAAAAATAAAGATAAACCATATATATTACACCACTGCTTATAACATGTATGATACATATTTTTTATTTTCAAAAAAGTACTTACCTCTTCCCTGAATATATCATGAAAATGTGGAACCCCAACATCTTCGTCTGGTAAGGACAACAGTTTCACTTGACCATTACTATAAATATTACATAAGTCTGTTGGTCTATGACTGTCCAAGATAAAAAATGTCACATCTTCATCTGCCTCAAGTTCTTCGATAACATCAAGCGTCCCACCACAGTTCAATAAAATATAGTACTTAACATCAGCACAGTTTTCATGATACGCTGTTTTGAGGTCCTCCAAACCCCTTACAACTGCTAGAGAATAGGACACATGCTTGTACCTCAAAAGGGACTGAAGGATTTTACAGGCACATATGCTGTCTATGTCGTAGTGTACCACAAGGAATACTCTCTGGAAAGAAGGAAAACCGAGTTCATATTTATCAGGAAAGATAAATCGTAAGCAGTTCAAGATTGTAACAGGTGCCGAGTTACCCCCTTCGAATTCAGCGCCTTAGAGAAAAAATTTACTTGCGACATACATGATCAGATTGAAGCTTACCTTTCCTGCTAAAAACTCATAAAAATCTTTTTTCAAATCTTCCACATACATTGTAAATAACGGAAAAATTAAAAAAGTGACATTGTAGAGCTATAACCTTGTTTATCTAACCGCCAAATCCGTTGAAAACACAGAACAAAAACCGAAAACGTTATCTTACACGACAGGACGAGCTGTCACAAAACGCATATAAATTGTGAACCGGATGAAAGCTCTCATATGGCAGTCATTGGCTATCTTATAGATCCCCATTTCATTTGACATATGTGTTTATTAGAGGCTACTCGGCCCGAGTAGAGATAACATGGCCACGCAAGACAAGTATTGAAATATACTCTACTAGACTATCCGCAGCGAAATTTTTCCGAAATCATTGTACACCGCTTAAAAAATGCAAATGAAGATTGGAAAATTACCGCTTTGACGTAGTAAATGACTCTGCCGTTACCCCGGGATAGACATACGTTTTGGCAGTTGACCTTGTCATGCGGCGTTGTCAGCTCATCGGACGATTTTGCTACCTCTGCTATTTTGATAGAATGTTATAAAGAAAAAGAAGTTTTGGATAAAATATTGAGGAATACCAATGAAGATATATAAAATTTGGGGCGTAGCAATGTTTGCCAAAAAACTAAACAAAAGGTGTTATTTACATTTGGTGCCCACGCATGCTCCAACAACCCAGGTAAGATAGTTTCCTGAACAACGCTTGATTTTTGCACCATATTTAGTAAACATGTCAAAGCATGATACCATCAATTATAGACTATCACCAATTCCTTGGACTAAAAATAGTATTTTGTTCAAGGCTTTGCTAATAGTTTTGAGATTTTTCAGAAATGAATGTAACTACATAAGATTAGTGCACGTTTCTGTGAATTTCTTTTTATCCTCAGAAGAGTTGGAAGGTGACCTAATTTCCACTTTGGAGACACTTGACACCCACGTCACAGCTCTTAAGTACCACTGAGACACAATCGAGAACAATATAGTGAACACCACTACTAAAAAAACAGAAAAGAGCTCTGCACGGAGCTGTGAACGGGTTGACATTCTGCTGCGCAGACGGTTGCCGAGATACTGAAGCATGTAAGTGTTGTACCCTGCTGCGGCGTACAGCCACGCCCCTTTCCAGCTCCCACTCCGCGCGTCTGCTACCGGTCAACGTAAACATCAAAACGCTTCGGGAGCAGACGCGCGGAGTAGGAGCTGGAAAGGGGCATTTTTTCATTTTGTTTAAATAGGAGTTGCAAACAAATACTTGATGTAAGATTGTGTGAATACTGAATTTAACCTAGTCTGTTCCTTATCTTGGCCACCTTGTAATACATTATTTTAAAAATAAATTTACAGGAACGTGCACTAATCTAACGTTCTTGTAAGTATTCTTATGTACTTACACATTCATTTCTGAACAATCTCAAAACTGTTAGCAGAGCCTCGAACAAAAGTCCAAGGAATGGATGATAGTCAATAATTAATTGACAGTATTTCACATCGTGCTTTGACACTAAGGCCCGTATCGTCAGTCGTCCCTACAATTGTAGGGCGCGTTTATGGCCTTCTTGATTGTCATAGTTTTCTACTTCTCCCTGTCAGCGCTCTATTTTGTGGTTATCTCACAAACATCTATTTGCATCAAATTGTGCTTGCTTTTGAGTTTTATCAGCCTGAAATTTCCTACAATTTAAAAAGAAAACATATTTACACAATAGGAGAGCGCTGACGCTGACACGGGACAAGTGTAATCTAGAAATTTTTGAAGAAGAGAAAGGAGTATAAGACTTTGGCACTATGTTTACTAAATATGGTGCAAAAAAAGCGTTGATACTTTGGTGCTTTCAAACCTGGAATCTGAGCCCCCTGTTTAGGAAACTACACTGTCTTACCTCGGTTGTTGGGGGATACGTGGGCACCAAATGTCCAACAAGAGTAGAGATATGTGGTGCGTCCAAAATGCTGATTCCGTCTGCCTGTGATTCCACATGATTGATGAGTTATAAGTTCCTTCAGCTGTTCATTTTTAGTTTCCTCAAAATGAATGCCTAATATCTCTGCTTCAAATTTTATATATCCCCATTGGTATCCCTCAATATTTTATTAAAAGCATATTTTTCTTTATTTATAACATTCTAGCAAAATCGACCGATGAGCTGGCAACGCCGCAACCTAGGTGATAAGATCAACTGCCAAAACGTATGTCCATCCCGGGGTAACGACGGGATCATTTAGTTTTAGTAGGTCAAAGCGGAAGTTTTCCAATCTGCATTGTGGTGTACAACGATTTCGAGAAAAAGTTCGCTAGGGTTAGTCTTCTAGAGTCTAGTAGAGTATATTTCAATAGGTGTCTTGCGTGGAAATGTTATCTTTAGTCGGGCCGAGTATCTTTGTTTAATGGTAAACTCACTCTAATGTCACTGCTCATGCGTATACGTTTTATTTACTGACTACTGTAACCACGACAATATTACCTAGAATATGGCGCGAGTTGTGAGTCATGCGGACCGTTCAATCTTTTACGCACTTTCTCTATGATCTACATGTGCGATCTGTCAAAGCGTCTTAGTCAAAATATTGTTTTAGGTTAGAATCAGTTTTACTAGGGCCCCAAAAATATAAAAATACATAATGTCTCGGCCAGAACACCTTGCTCCCCCAGAAATCGTGAGTATTGTTCCACTGATACATAGTCCGATATTTTACTATTTTTGTTTTAGTATTACAATGAGGAGGAAGCCAAAAAATACTCTCAAAAGTAAGTTTTGTCTCTTCATCCATTATCTATATCAGAGTTCCCCAAACTTTTTTGTGTCGTAGACCCCTTGCCATGTTTTTCCGTGGTGGGTAGACCCCCTACTTACCTGATATTGATTTCCTGTAAATTTCTAACTGTAGTGAAGTTTAGTGTTAAAAACTTAAAGTAAAAACACATGTTAATTTATACATTTATTAATTGAATTTAAATTAAAACTACTGTAAATAAAATTTTGTATCTGTTATGTAAAATATACGTAACATTAAATAAACAGGTGTCTGACCAATAAGTGCCCGCATTGGGAATAAGTGCCCGCATTGAAAAACAATAAGAGGGATAAAATAAAAAAAAACTGAAAAATAATAAAAAAAAGTTTTTTACTTAAAATAGTACAATAAGCGAGTTCGTTTATTAATTAAAACATAACCGTATGTTCTACAATAATTTCACTGTTAGATTGATTAAATTCCGCTTCGTATGCGTTTAAGTTATCTAAAAATAGGCAAAAAATTAACGAATTTTAGTGTGTACCTATCCTTGAATTTTCAGAATAATTTAAAAAAAAATATTTTCTATAAAAAATCAATGGGGGCACTTATTCCCAATGCGGGCATTTATTGGTCAGACACCAATAAACATAAAATAAACTATAAATAAAATAACATAAGCAATAAGTCAATATTTTTAGTGAGAAGGATGAACCTGATGCTTTAATAATAAATTATCAACATTTGGCGTCAATTTTGTAAGGGTTAATCTTAAATCTCCTCGGCTAATGATGTCCAGTCTGTTTCTTTTTTTCGTTAGGAGATTGGTAACAGCGCTGAACCCCCTTTCCACTAGGTATGACGATGGAAAGGAAATTAAAAATTTCCTCGCTATATTTCATAATACGGGATAAGTAACAGGTATGTTGTTTTGCAGCCAGAATTGCAGATATCTGTTTTTAAACTGAACCTTAAGTTCTTCGTTTGTACTTAGTTCAGTCAGTTCCTCTTGTATTATGACATTCGTTTCTTCTATGTCACCATATGGATTAAATATCCACGGTGGTATTACCATAGTCAAAATATCCTCAATCCTAGATTCAAAATCTGAATAGAGGGCATTTAAATGTTGAACGTAAGTTGAAACGTCGTCTTCCTGGCAGCTTGTCTGTGACAAATTGGGGAACTGAGAAAATTCGCCCCGTCCAATATTTTGCTTCATTAGTTTAACTCTGGCAAGAAATGCTGATAAGATGGACTTTGTTTTAATCAAATTTAAACTGTCGCCTTATAATTGCAAATTAACCATATTAAATTTTGTAAACAAATCTGTTAAATAGGCGATGTCTGTTTTCCTCTTCATTAAATTATCTTTTAAAATTTTATCTTTAGTATCCAGAAATTCTAAAATAGTCTCAAAAAGTGCAAAAAATCTTGTCAAACATAAACCTTTCGACAGCCAGCGTACTTCAGTGTGAAGGAGTAATTTATGAAAGTGTTCATCATTTTCTTCACACAACTGCGCAAATAACCGCGTATTCAACGCGTTGCTTCGGATTCGGTTTACTGCATCAATGACTAAATGAAGTGATTCATGCAATCTAACACTCAAATTTTTAGCAACTAAATGTTGTCGATGGATGACGCAATGTATTGCTAACACCCCTGACACATTTTGTTTTAAATAGCTTATACATCCACGATAACGTCCAACCATGGCAGGTGCTCCATCTGTAGCTACTGATATTATATTTGATAAAGGAATTGCTTTTTCAATGAAGTAATCCTTCAAAACATGAAATATTGATTCACCTTTAGTGTCGGTTATCAAAGTTCTTGCGAGCAGCAGTTCTTCGTAGATTTCTTGATTCATAATAAAACGAACATATGCCAATAATAATGCTGCATTATCAGGTAAAGTTGACTCGTCCAGTTGTATAGAGAAATGGGTCGTTTGCAAATAATTACATAAGAATCTTTCAATATCAGAACTCATTTCATCAATACGTCTTTCAACAGTATTGTTGCTTAAGGGAATTTTTTTAATGATATCAGATGCAGGTTTGTGTAAAACAGTTTTTAAAACCTCATCATTTCTTTGTGACGTCGAAGCGAAACATTCTCTCCAGTGTAGGTCTCTTCTGAAATTTATCTTTGAGTGTTTGAAAGTATTTCATATCTTTCTCTGTTTTATCAGGGTGGCATCTTCTCAGATGATCTTGCAGTTTAGATGGTTTCGTAGCGTCATTGCCCAAAACTTTGTTGCATAAAAGGCACATAGGCGATTGTTTGTCCGGCAATGATGGAATGAAGCCAAATTTCAAATAATCAACACTATACTGTCTACATTTCTTTTTAGATTCGGACATGGCATCAGTCATCTGTGGGCAAAATTAAATTATTTAAATAAGACAGAAAATCCAGCAGCTGTATATTAAAAATATGTTTTGATTTTTCCGAAAACATTCCATAATTCGAACATCTTCTTGCTCGAATTACGGAGATTGCACTGTAATTATATTACCGATCGCTAAAACTTTCAAAAAGAAACTATTGAGGAGTACTCGTGTAATTTTGCATGATTGAATATTTAACTACTAATAACTAAAGTCATGATTGGCGTAATTTATCTATCTTTGCTAACTACGAGTACAAAACTAAAATTTAATAAAAAATAATGTACTTACTTTTCTCCAGCACTCTCAAACAAAATATCACTGACTCACTATAATTTGTGTGATATACTATCTATTTATATTTTTTAAAATATTTTCTTAGCACTTTCCTTTTCAAGATTCAGGAAACGAATAAACGTATTTGTCCCACATTCGTATTTATAGAGTGACGAATTGAACAAGTCAGTGCAAGGTAGCGAAGCTCTGAGACTGCGACTCTCAGGTTTTTACAAGTTCAAAATGTATTGCAACCACAAAGCGAATACCAACATCCTACAACTTACACAATTTTATAAACATATATAATAAATTTTTTACTTCATAGGTACTTTTATAAATAATGTATATGTTTTGATATTATAACATAGTATGATGTAAGTAAATAGGTACTATCAGTGTATGTGTTGAGATCCACTATCGTTCCACTATCGTGGACCCCCATATTCATTTCATGGACCCCCAAATTTTTTTCCGCTGACGTAGACCCCTTGCAGGTTGTCATAGACCCCTAGGGGTCGATATAGACCACTTTGGGAATCAATGATCTATATGATCCAATTTACAGCTCAAGAATTATCGATATTCAGTTTCAAATGAGTGAGAGAGCTGTAGAACTGCTAGTGTTGCCGGAAGACACACCTTGCTATATACTGGATATAGGCTGTGGTTCAGGCCTCAGTGGGAGCACACTAGATGATCAAGGACATTTTTGGGTTGGAATGGATATATCCAAAGCTATGCTAGGTACTTCTGATGGAAAATTGTGTTAACAATGAAGCATATAAAAGAGTAATTCATTTCTGCTATTGGTATTATCTGTAAAATATTACAATTTCTGAAAATATTCAGATGAACTTGTAATTGTGTCATGGTTTTTCATTTCTTCATTAAGTTTGATCTCATTAAGTTTTATAGATTTTTATCATTATTTTGTAATATATTTTAGATATTGCATTAGAAAGAGAAATTGAAGGAGACCTAATTCTATCAGATATGGGACAAGGTTGTCCATTTAAAGCAGGTAAAAGAAAATGTCTTTAAAAAGAGTTGTAACATTACCAAATTGTGATGAAGGCCTATTTGAAAGTTTTTTTCATTTTTTTAAGTATTTATTTGTTTTAGGTGCCTTTGATGGTGCAATAAGTATATCTGCATTACAGTGGTTGTGTAATGCTGACAAAAAGCACCATAACCCTGTCCAGAGGCTGTATAAATTTTTTAGTACTTTATATGCCTGCCTAGTATGTATTTTACCTTTCCATTACTATATAATTCTATTATGTGCCAATATTTTTCTAGTTGCATTTTTATGTTCATATCCTTTCACCTACAAGCTCACAACTTTTACCCTTACTTTTTGGGTTCATTTCATCCTGAATTAGCAGGATTTACTGGCAATTGAATTGAGTATCTTCTAATGGAGTATGTCAATGATTATTAGTTATTAATGAAAATTGTAGAGTCGGTCGGGCAGGGCAGTACTACAGTTCTATCCAGAAAACAGTGACCAAATGGAATTGATAACAGCTCAAGCCATGAAGGCGGGATTTTACGGTGGTGTTGTGGTCGATTATCCCAATAGTACAAAGGCCAAAAAGTTTTTCTTAGTATTAATGACAGGGGGTAATATGCCATTACCTAAAGCCTTAGGTACAGATGAAGATTCACAAGGTAAATAATTACTCAGTAAAATATGTTTAGTGTAAGAACTTATAATAATTATAAATATATTCCCTGTTGAGGGGGTACAGAAGAAACTTAAATTTCGATTTTACTAAATACAGACATATGGCTTGAAATTTTTTTATTAAAAGCATCAGTAAAAACACAAGCCCACATACAGTGAGGTTCAAATTTGGCTAATGTTGTAATGTGTACAAGAGAGAATCGTGTAATATGTATGTGTCTCTAACACACGTATTGCATGCTTCTTGCTCTTCTCTCTCATACACATTGCAATGTCAGTGGTACATGGATTTCACTGTATATATTATATAGTTTCAAAAAAATATGGAGAATTATCAGCATGAATAAGTTTCAGATGTTACATTATACCATATTTGTTATTTTCAAGTCTTGTGTACATGCATGTATTTAGACAGAATGCATCCAACCTATGTTCAGTGTATGGTCCGACCGAATTTCAACGTGAACGAACGGAATTGAAACAAATTATAGATTATTTTTTGGAACTTTTTTTTGTATGTTTACTACAATAAAATCCCTCGGGCAATCAAAACGTTTGGAAAGGTTTTATAAAAGTACGCGGGATGATTGCTATGCGATTATATAGACACTTTGGGATCGTGTACGACACAGTCAGGTTGGCCGAGCGGTCTAAGGCGCCAGATTTAAGCTCTGGTTCTCGAAAGGGAGCGTGGGTTCGAACCCCACACCTGACAAACTTTTTTTTTATATTATGACGTTAAATATTGATAATATAAAACTATTTATTATTAGGTGTGACATACACAGCCAAAAGGGAACGTTTGAAACAACAAAGAGGAAAATCGTTGAAAAAAGGCAGAAACTGGATTTTGGAAAAGAAAGAAAGGCGTAGGAAACAAGGCAAAGATGTCAGGCCAGATTCTAAATATACTGGCAGAAAAAGAAGTGGTAGATTGTAGTATTCAATATTTTTGTTAATAAAAAATGTTTAAAATGACGTATTTTTAATTTGTCTCCCATATACCTCACGTTTCACTTTATTCAGTAAAGTGGACAAATTTGATAAACAATCCTAAATATCCAAAGAGATTAAAAAAGGTAAGCAAAAAGGGCCTGTCCGGGATTTGAACCCGGGACCTCTCGCACCCGAAGCGAGAATCATACCCCTAGACCAACAGGCCAGCTATGAATGGCGTTCCATTAACTCGTACAAACGCTTGGGCATTTTCTAACTAATGTTATCTTGCAAATTTCAATTTTTCATGACTTCAAAAGATCTTAAACATATTAAATGATCACTTATTACATAAGTAACTTGACAGCCCTCAAAAGTTGCCCCGGAGATTATTTTAGGTTAAAGATCAAAGTACCATTTAAATGGAGGACAAGGGAGAAAGTCTGAATGTGAAAGAACTCGATTTATACAGGGAAACACCAGTTCGTTATTTAGGTGAGGAATTCAAACAAAGAAGGTGTGTAATATCTATTGATAATACTGTAACCGTTTATTACAGGGTACGCAAACGAAGTGGGAGAGGCATTCCGATCGATTATAGGTGCTAAATGGGTTAATTTCACGTACTTTGTTGCCACTTTATACGTTTTAGCTGATACTGCTGATAAGAGTGCCAAGAGTTTTAAGGTAGATTGTGTATTTCACTCTTTACGTATAGGATATTTTATGAAATTGACAATATTTAAAGTTATTACAGAATAACTTTGTTGTGTTACGCAATCAGATATGTACTTAGATGCTATGCTGGTTGCCGGCCAGCTGATAATGTACACATTTATAGACCAGTCATTCTAGTATCAACTATCAATTCATACTTCTGTTTTTTTGCAGACAAATAAAAATGAGACAAATCACATCAAGAAAGTTTTATACACGACAACCGATACGTTGGTATGGCAATTATTAGCGTCTGTGATAATACCAGGTTTCACTATAAATAGATTGTGTTATGCATCAAACATACTATTGAAAAACTCGAGGAAGCTGCCTCATGAAGCTAGAAAATGGATGGTGACAGGAATCGGTCTTACAGCAATCCCTTTCATTATTAAACCTATCGATGAATTTGTAGATTACGCTCTAGACGAATCCATTAGAAAATTGCAACCTTAGTTATGCATGCTGAAAAATTGTATTTCTATTATTAGTGAATTTACATCTAGGTAGTTGCTGGTTCCACTATAAAAATAGACTGAAAGTTTACCTTTAAATATAAGTAGTATATATATAATGTGTAGTAAGAAAAATTAAAAGCATATACCTTTTGATAATTTATGACATCCATGCTCGTATCATGTTCTTAAACAAGAAACATCAAAATTTGTATTAAGCATGATGCGCTTCTCGATAATAGTACCTAAACATGTTAAATAATTTTTATATTTTCAGCATTGTTGTGAGGATAAGGAATCTTTAATGAGGTACATAATAAGATTGGCTCATTTTGGTACCGCATTTTTTATAAAGATACACACTAGGTACGTATTTCGTTTATTATTTCACAATAGGTCTGTTTTAGGTCCTTGTCACTGATTGGGTATTGTCGTTGGTGCATTATTAGCGAATGCTTAGCTTTGGCAATAAATTTCGTGTGTAATACCAATAGAAGTACATGTAATTTAACAACTCAACGTGTTCTGATATTTCTGCCAATTAGTTTTTAAGTGTTCATATGTATAGGTATCAAGGATATCTGTTACTGTTAGTTGCAAAATAAAAAATAAAGTTTAGTGAGGTTGCGTTGTGTTTTATTACTACACAAAGCATAACGAACATCCTTTTACTAAGACTAACGCTAAGCCCCCTCGGAGATTCACTCACGAAAATCCGTAAGTATGTTTTGCAATAGAGTTGTCTGCTGTATAAGCGCCTAAATCTAAGGCTACTTTTTTATATATGCTCACAAGATTTCTATATCAGTTTCATTATATGTTCTATAAAATTTGAATTGTTGTGACATCTATGTCTCTATCTGTGTGATATGCATTTCTGTATGTGAATGATTCTGTGTTTGAGCATATTTATTGATTTGCACGAAATTGCGATGATGATTTGGAGTTGTCCAGAATATAAACCTCTCTCTTGTTGCACATATACGTGCCGCTACTGTGTTATAACCGACAACATATGATGCATACCTATACGATATAAAACACGAGTGGTGTTGATTCTCGTTTCCTTCGAGTATTCGTTATTAATCGTCAATCTTCTACAAAGTAATCATTCATTGTATGCAAATTGACGTCAAATTCGAAATCTATGCACCCGTTTTGCCCAGGATACGAGTTTTCATACAGATCACAGATGCGTTAGGATTTTTGAACTTTTGTGTAAAATCCTAGCATTAGTTCTGTGCCAATGTTTATATAACAAATAGAAATAGTACCTCTTTCAAACCACATTTAACACGCTATCTTGAGATCCTGCATCAGGTCAATCAATAATACAGTGTCCAGTGGGAAAGTTTACTTTTTGATTTAAGAAAAAAAAATACAAACTTAATGAAAATAAAATATTTATTACTATCAACATATTCGTAAATTCGGTGGGTTTATTTCTTAATATCATTCCGTCTAAATGTTTGCCATCGTTTCAGACACACTCTTCTATTCGCGCGCGCAAATTCTGAAACACTCTTGCAGAGTTCCGCACTGATGTTGTTTATTTCTCGTCGAATGTTGTCTTTAAGCTCCTCCAGTGTTCGTGGATTATTGGAATAAACTTTAGACTTTAACCCCACAAAAAATAATCGCATGGCGTGAGGTCGGGTGACCCAGGAGGCCAGTGAATGTCTTCGTCTCTAAACTTCGATATAACTTTTTGAGGCAAAAAGAGCTTTGACGATGTGCATCGATTCTCTGGAAGTATGGGCAGTGGTCCCATCCTGTTGAAACGATTTTGACTGACCGTGAAAAAAAAATATAATTTTAAGATTTTGCTATTTGTATAGTGTAGTTAACTTGCCATATATGGACTAAAGGGCGTTGTGTTTTTTGAGAGTTATATTTTTCAATAATGATGGTAAAGTAATATACATAGCCAAATGCGAATTTCAATCGGAACTTCAAAAAAACTTAATGTTACAAAATTTTACCTTCCAACATCATCAAAAAACGTATTTTGAACCTGTTACCTGCAAAATAAATGATTTGGCAGTATTTTTCTAAATTTGAAGTCTACTCGGAATCGACTCATTTTGGTCTTTTCAACTGTACCTTTCTGTCTGTTAAATTTTGAGATATCCTGTATTTCTGAAAAGGGTAAAACATAACTGACGTTTTGTATGATAAAAAAGTGCAATATTTGGATTATCAAAATTGTGCTTTTCTGAGCATTGATGCTACCTGATATAGCATTAATGATGTTTGATAGTCGTGCAAAAAAGTGTTCTATGAGCTTACACTGCTGCTGATCATTTAACTTGATAGCTTAGTTATCAAACTATCAAATAATCATAAACTTTTATGTGCAAAGTTGACGTACTTAGTCTGATACTGCAGTAGATTTTTTCCGGAGCTACTTATCAGGTCGTACGCAGTGTGTGTCGATTAATAACATTCAATCTAATATTGCGACTATACGAACAAGTATCCCACAAGGCTCAATTATGGGACCTGTGCTTTTTTTGATACCTTTGACCTACATAAAACAGTCGAGAATTCAGAAATACAAACATTTGCTGATAATACGCAGATATTTGCTATTTCGCCGCCTCGGATGCACCAATTGTGGCACACACTCTTCAATTTGACTCGGAAAAGGTACATCAATTTTCTGTGGATCATAATATTGATACTAATCCCAATAAAACGCACTTGCTATTGTTGTGTTCTGATCAGAAGAGAAAAATCGTCGAAGACTCTTTTCAATTTTCATTTAACTATTGATGGTATAACTTTGCGGCATACTCAGACAGCGGAGATTATAGGCGTAGAAATTGACAACAAATTAAGATTTCGTAGCCGTATATAGCTAATTTGATGCAAAAGACTTACTTACATCCGATTTAGAGCTCTTTGCTCAATTCGATACTTGCTAAACTTCAAGCTTAGGAAAAAACTGGGTGTTTCTTTGGTTATGTCAATTCTCAGTTACTGTGATGTCGTTCATTACTCGCCTGAATCAGTTGACAAAAAGTAGGCTTTAAATCATCCAAAATAACGCTTTATTTTTGGTTTGCGAAAAACGATCACGTTAGTGAAAAATATAGCGAACTGAACTGTCTTAGGTTAGGTTGTCTAGTTAAATACACACACAACATCTTGGTTCACAAAAGTCTGTTGTCCTCAAAGCCCGAATATCTAAGAGTCAAATTGCATTTTCATTACGCAGTTCATGACAGTGCTGTTAGAAATCGTTTTGATATCCTCTCCACACAATTCTGCTTTACGAGTATTCCAAAGAGGACTTACATATAATGCAGGACTATTTTATAATCAGTTAGCAAATAGTTTGAAATAAATGTCTTTGCAATGTTTTCTAAAACATACTAAAAATATGATGCTCGGTGTTGGTTAAACAAGTTCTATACTTACTACAGATAAAAAATGTGTTTTTTTTTCTTAGTTAGGTACATATATGTGTTTGTTATTATTGATTTCTTTATTGTTCTGAACATCTAACGTAAGCGACATAAACAGTTAAGTGTAAGAGTAGCATTGGCTAAACTTCGCTAATTATGGCCCTCTTGGTTAATTGAAAAATTATTGTAGTATTATTATTATTATTGTTATAAATAGTTTGCGATTATTTTCTAAACATCAATATGATTTTTAGGATTCAAAACATCACGTAACATTTCTGTAATCATATTAAATGCTTCCATTACGCATTCTCGTAACTGCTGCTCAGTTTCAAAAGTATGCTGATAAACTTGGTTTTTAGTAAAACGGGAAATTCGATTTTCCCAGGTTTTCCGGACTTCCCCTATGAATCTTAAAAATATTCAGATATGCACAATTAAAACATTTGGAATTTTAATAAGTCATTGTAATTCTCAATAATAGCCAATGAAAAATATTATGATTTCTTTGCTTAAGTTATATGCCACTAACCCTTTTTCCTGAAATAACAACGTAAGTCTATAACAGTTTTTCGGCCGTTTTTCATTAATATTAATAAACTGTAATGGATATTTGAAATTTCAATCTTCCAGAACTCGAATATCTACTATATTAAGCCGCAAAAGTATGTAATTTAAAACTGTTTTTTTGTCGGTGATACAATTTTTATTGTCTTTGCAATGACAGATTCATATCTTTCCACTACTAATAATTCTAGAATATTTACCCATCCTATGTCCTTTTGAACATACACATTTTAGTAATTCTTAGTATTTCATTATTAAAAAAGGCTTTGGTCCGAACGCTCTGTATACGATATTCAAAAATACATATTCGGTTGTGTAGAAAAAAGACGTCGTACATGTATAAAAAAACAGCAATCTTTCCCAGCGTAAACAGTACGACTCTAGCCAAGCGGTGGGGAGAGTAGGAGAAATGAGGGGAAATGAGGACCTGTTATGCAGAAAGGTACTAGGCGGCTTCAGTTATTGGGGTAGCGCGTTGGCGGTCGGTTAGTGCTACCAAGTCGCGTAACGCCACGCGTGTGTTGTGCCGTTCGTAACGTTTTTTATATCATGAGGCAACGTGTGATGGTAAGTACGTTTTTAGTTGCTTAGGGAGTTTGTAGTACTTGTGTGTATATATTGTTTTTTGAATAAACAGTGTGCAACTTAATGATAGGCCGTAATTACAAGGGCGCATTCCTAAGCCAAAGTACCAGGCACAAAGCATATGGACAACCCGGTTAATGTTGATGAAAAATTGTATAGTGATAGTTCATGTTGGGCTGTTGATAAACTTGTAAAAGATTTCATGGCTTATTGAGGTATTTGTGCAAAACTAAAATTTGGCGCAATGGTTTTTATCCATTTATTTTATTTTAAGAAATATCAAAAAACAAGTGGAACTTTTTAGTCTCTAAATGATATTGTTTTTAAATTTTGTGCCCGACATTTCGCTTTTGAGAAGCCATCATCAACTTTATTTTTTATATGGTCCGAAAAAAGTACACTCATCTGATAGGATCTTTTTCTACGAATTCAACGACGTAGCAGATCCTACATTGGTGTTCTTAGTTATGAAGAAAAATGTGTTTTTTTTCTATTTTAATGTAAGACTATGTGATTATGATAGATGTATATTATGATATGATGGGGTAAAATTTTATAAAATAATGCTTAATCTAGTGATATTCAGAATAACGGATACATTTTTAATATTATTTTTATTTTATTCACAATAGGTGTTCAATACAAGGTCCGGTAAATAGTACGACAAAAAAATAGAGACGATAGGCGAAGGGCATATCTGCAACATACCAAAAAATAATTATTAGTATTTTTGTCTTTTTCGAAAAATGTCCTCTTTTAATCTACGAGTATATTTTTTTACTGATAGAAAATGTTTTTTTTGGAAACACATCTTTATTCAATAGTCAATTTTTACAAATTTAATAGAAACCAAAGTTCTCTAATCTGTGTTTAAAACACTGGCCTCGAGAACAACATTATTTAAACTGCGAATTTTAACTACAATAAATTCAACAATTCAAGTGAGTTTTGAGTGTCTTTACACAATTACTGAATACATGTGCATTTTTACACTATTTGGTAGATTGTTATAAGTTTTTACTGCATCAGTGACCTGGTTATTTAATCCTTTATAGGTTTTAGT